AAAGTCATCAGCGGCACTCATTTAATAGTGGGACATGAACATGAAGTTTCAAAACAGACGAAGCGTCTGCGGTAGATGATCTCATTCCGTGAAAACGAAGTTTCACAGCACAATTGACACCTCACAGCCAACTGTGCTTTATACATTACAACAACAAAAAAAAGCAAAAGGTAAATAAAGTCTGGGTGCAGGATTCCAAACTTTAACACAATTATACATTTTGAGCAAAAACATAATTGTTCTAACTAATAAGCACAATAACTATCATTGTTATGAATTATTTAGAATCTTTGGTTCTGCTTTGAGTCACATTTATTTTGTAGTTTTGTTTGAGTTTTTTTTGTTTAGCAAAATATAATAAAAATAAAATATTAAAACTTTTTAGGTTACCACAAATAACAACAAAATATGTTGTATTATTATTATTAGCAGCAATACTACTAATAAACTTATATAGTATAATAATAATAATACTTATTAAATAAATTGTTTACAAATTATAAAAAAAAGTTCTGTGGGTTCAAGGCAACTTTCGCATTTTTTTTTTGTTTAACAAAAATATTTCACTAAATAAATAATTATTAAACCAAACAAATTATCAGGATACCACAAATGATTATCTCCAGGAACAGCGGAATCATAAGAGTTTTTATTCTATTCATATAGATCCCGTTAAGTGTCTCATATATGCAGAGATACATTCAACTAAATACGTGTATTGTCAGACTGGAAGAAGTGTTAATAAATGTGTTTTCTGACATTCTCTTGAATAAAACACAAGGTCTTGATTTTTTTTGCCGTCAGTGTATATAATCTTAATTTTACATGGGAAGAAACGTTATGTGGCACTTTTTATTTTTTGGCGCTTCATCCATTTACTGATAAAAACAGGCAAGCGCGCCTGTATTATTAATTCAACCTTTGTAATTATCCCATAACAAGGATTTCCAGTTTTTTTTTTTTATCTATAAAAGCTTTCATAAAGATATATGCATCACACAATCGAAATGGAAAACATACGCCGTGAGAGGTTTATAAATGTTGCAATAACAGAATTCTTTATTTACAATTCAATTTGATTCAACATCAAATAGCATCAGCAAAGCCATATTAGTTGACAACTTGCATAACTGTATTTAAATTTCTCTCGGTATATCTAACTTTGCATAAAAGGCTCACACTAAGATTACACACATCGATGCGGATGAACAGAGATGTTTATGTGAGAAAACTGGGGGGGAAAAAATACATCTCAGGAGCACAACACTGTAAGCTTTCTCCAAAAAGTCCTTATAAATTACATATTGCTTCGATTTCCCATTGCATCATCTTCATTCTCACACATAACTGAGAAGGTAAAATCCAGACTGTACAAATAATAAAACCCACAACTGATCGCAAACAAAACATGGAAAATGAGCAATATTGAGACTGGAGGAGAGAGAGAGAGTGCAGGTGCGTGAGGGAATGGAGAAAGAGAGACAGGTATGTATGTATCCAGCAATAGAGGAGCAGTAATGAACTGGGTCGATCCTGTCAATGATTCACTATACAAATATAATACAGACAACTTTTGTAATTTACAAGACAGTAAAACAGATCTAAGGCAATATGCTAAGTGTTAGCATTTCAAGGTTGTTGCATTTAGCTCTAAGAAATTGGCAGACTATACAAAAAGACATTTAAAGTCTCAGAAAAAAAACCCCAAAAGGTAAGGTAAAGACAATTTTAGGAAATTCAATAGCCGTTACAATTCCATTTATTTCTGTATTTTAGGACAAATGGCTCTTTTTGCACTAGCACTGATAAAAAGACTAGAAAACTCTGCACCACCTTCATAGCATGGCTTATATTTATTTCAAAATCTTGACAATCTTTGGACTTTTCAGAGGGTAGTGGTAGGCTACATGTGCGACCTCAAAACTGGCTATTCTCCAATATGATAGTATAGATGCTTCTGGATGGCAGTCCTTGTTCAAGGCATCCAACATTCATCAAAATTGTGATCAAAAAAGCTTGGAATAAAGGAGTACTCGATTTAGTCGACAAATGTTAGCAGGTTCACTGGAATCGATTATTAAATCAAGTTTTTATCCCACACGAGAATGCAGGTGTTTCTCAAAGGACACAGAAAGTTTTGAATGGTGGGCAGAGTGACGTTTCACCCAAACAATGTGAAATCAAATTTGTATTTACAGCGTTCAAAAGGAAAAGCTAAAGCTATACCAAAACACCAGGTAGACAGGCTATATTCGTACACAACCACGGCACCTTCAGCGCATAATGACAGAGCTGGCCGTTGCAAACCTCAGTTGCTGCTGGTACATACAGTATATACTTAATAAAACATGTAGTAGCCTACCTCTTTTTTTTTGTTTGTTTTGTTTTTTTAACACACCAGCTTGAACACAGATGACATGGCGATATTTTCAGCGAAAGCTAAAGCCTGACAATCTAACCCCGATACAAACCGTGTGCAGACATGAGACGAAAACGAAATGAAAGGTATGTTTAAGTCTACTGATCAATTCAAAGGCAAGGAAACTTGGCTTCGTCATCAAATAGGCTAGAAAACACAAACTGTATTGCGTAGCCTACATTACAGCGTTAAGAGTTTGCGTGCCTGGAGTGACCGCTGATCCAAATCTGAACCTTTGATCCGGAGGTTTTCAAGACGGCGAACATTAATGTGAATGTAGGAATAGCCACGCAAAACATAAACGCTGCTTTTTTTAACATTTATTAAAAACATTTTTTTGGCTACACCAGAACTAAAACCTGCTTTTCACTGAGGAACAAGTAGATTTGGACATCTTGTTTTTGTCTTTCTCAAAATAGAAACCACAATAATAATAATAATAATAATAATAAAAAAAAAAATCTATCTTTAATACTGAGTTTGAACCGGGGAGCATACATGTGTCTCCTGAAAAGTCCTGTACAAAAATTACAAAACAAAACAAAATAAAATCTCAAGTAATATTTATTGCTTGTTGTATTTTCTTACACACACCGGATTCTGCTTGTACCTATAGCGTCTGGCATGAAGCATGTCACTCCACACAACAAAGAAAGCACGCTTCAGTGTTGAGTTTATGGCTGTGTTGGGTTCCTCCGGTGGGGCTCCCGGCTAAAGGCTTAGAAGCAAGCGAGTATCTGTACACTGTACACACAGAACCCTCCCAGACCCCCACCCAGGAAAGAAGGACCACCTCACCCCAGCTCCCCTTCCTTAGTACCATAGGAATCAGCACATCCTCATCTTCCCGCCAAACGAACACGCTCGTCGTGAGAAATTCGCCCTCATTCCAGAAACAGTTAAGACCAGACTTTGAGGGGAGGAAGGGGAAATATACCGAAAAACTAAATAAAAAATAAATATAATACGAAAAAAATTCCCCTCCATTATTGGTATTTACAATCTACCAGCATTTCATTTTACTAACCACAACTAAACAAAATCAGGTTCTCTGAAACTACTGGACCAAGGAAAACAAAATCCATAGGTATGTTGAACTTTTTTCTTATTCTGAGGCAATTCATATGCACTCTGAGAGATTTTTCTCTTTCTAACCGATGGTTTATAAAGAAATCTACAATGTTATTTAAAAAAGAAACTATACATTAGAATAAAGCTTAATTTAATACACAATAAACCTCTTGACTAAATTAATTCTAATTTTACAAACCATCATCTGAATTCTCATAATCTATATGTAGACGCTTTTTCAACATCATTCTATGTTTATTTGCACTGAAAAAAGAAAAAAAAGAAAACAAAAAGGCAAAATGGCTGAATTTTGAGCGTGGATTATAAATGCAGTCTTCTTGCCTGTTTTGGAACGTCAGATTGGAAAGAAGTCAGAGAGAAAGATGGTTGGGCAAAAGAACGTCTTCTTAAGAAGAGTCTGAAGTCCAGTGGACGAACCAGGAAGAAAGACAGGGAAAAAGAGAGTGAGGAATACATTCATGGGAGACAAGGATTCCGATGCCACTGTCACAGAGTCTTTTCAGGAGAGACCTAAGTCACACTACGGTGAATGCAACGGAGCAGACTGACGGAAAGGGCTTGCAGTGTAAGTACGAGACAGAAGGCCGTGCTCGACTGAAGGAGGGGCGGGGGATTCTAGGTCAAAGTGTCAGAAGATCAAAGTGTCAGTGTGTGTGTGTGTGTGTGTGAGCGAGAAAGAGAGTGAGGCAGAGTGTCCATCCCCTCTGAGCTCCAGTACCCCTGATGCATCCTCTAGAGATGTCCAGTAGGGGGCAGTAGACAGGCTCTCTAAAGACCCCTACAGCCCCGATAGCAGCTTAAACAGCACAGCATCACTCCAATCTCTCCTTGATCACGCTGCAGCTGAAAATCACTCATCAAACATCTTCAATAAACTTGGTTTACTGTATTGGGATGTCGTCTGCCCCGGGTCAACAATACTTCTGCTGTGGGAAAGAGAAAAAGAAACCTGGCCTTAGACTCAAAACCATAGAAGCATATTTTTCACAGAAATAATATTTAAGGTAGTTTTTTATGCCAGAGTGTTCACAAAGTATATTCATTAACAATAATTGAGTTATATGGTCAAAAAAGAAAAAAAAAATGTTTGCGCTTAACCGTGTTTACTAAGTGTCCTGTGCTCTATGCATGAGTTTTGATCACTGTTTACATGGAACTGAAAACCTAAAATAAGTGGTCCTATAAAGTGATCATCAAAAGACTTCACTGATTTAACTGCTTGATTCATATGGAGTCACTTTATGATGCCTTTATAACCATTTTGAATCTTCTAGGTTTCGGTTACCTGGATTTTCAATGGAAGGACAGAAACCTTTTCAGGTTCCATTAAAAATGATCTTCATTTGTGTTTCGAAAATTTACCAAAACCTTATGGGTTTGGAATGACATGAGGGTGAGTAAATGACATTTTTCATTTTTAGATTAACAATCCCAGCATTAATCATGGCAAACCATCATCTGAATTCTCATAATCTATATGTAGACGCTTTTTCAACATCATTCTATGTTTATTTGCACTGAAAAAAGAAAAAAAAGAAAACAAAAAGGCAAAATGGCTGAATTTTGAGCGTGGATTATAAATGCAGTCTTCTTGCCTGTTTTGGAACGTCAGATTGGAAAGAAGTCAGAGAGAAAGATGGTTGGGCAAAAGAACGTCTTCTTAAGAAGAGTCTGAAGTCCAGTGGACGAACCAGGAAGAAAGACAGGGAAAAAGAGAGTGAGGAATACATTCATGGGAGACAAGGATTCCGATGCCACTGTCACAGAGTCTTTTCAGGAGAGACCTAAGTCACACTACGGTGAATGCAACGGAGCAGACTGACGGAAAGGGCTTGCAGTGTAAGTACGAGACAGAAGGCCGTGCTCGACTGAAGGAGGGGCGGGGGATTCTAGGTCAAAGTGTCAGAAGATCAAAGTGTCAGTGTGTGTGTGTGTGTGTGTGAGCGAGAAAGAGAGTGAGGCAGAGTGTCCATCCCCTCTGAGCTCCAGTACCCCTGATGCATCCTCTAGAGATGTCCAGTAGGGGGCAGTAGACAGGCTCTCTAAAGACCCCTACAGCCCCGATAGCAGCTTAAACAGCACAGCATCACTCCAATCTCTCCTTGATCACGCTGCAGCTGAAAATCACTCATCAAACATCTTCAATAAACTTGGTTTACTGTATTGGGATGTCGTCTGCCCCGGGTCAACAATACTTCTGCTGTGGGAAAGAGAAAAAGAAACCTGGCCTTAGACTCAAAACCATAGAAGCATATTTTTCACAGAAATAATATTTAAGGTAGTTTTTTATGCCAGAGTGTTCACAAAGTATATTCATTAACAATAATTGAGTTATATGGTCAAAAAAGAAAAAAAAAATGTTTGCGCTTAACCGTGTTTACTAAGTGTCCTGTGCTCTATGCATGAGTTTTGATCACTGTTTACATGGAACTGAAAACCTAAAATAAGTGGTCCTATAAAGTGATCATCAAAAGACTTAACTGCTTGATTCATATGGAGTCACTTTATGATGCCTTTATAACCATTTTGAATCTTCTAGGTTTCGGTTACCTGGATTTTCAATGGAAGGACAGAAACCTTTTCAGGTTCCATTAAAAATTATCTTCATTTGTGTTTCGAAAATTTACCAAAACCTTATGGGTTTGGAATGACATGAGGGTGAGTAAATGACATTTTTCATTTTTAGATTAACAATCCCAGCATTAATCATGGCATGAATAAATCATATGAACTACTGTTTTAATGTTTTCTGGGTTATTAAGTGGTGTTGTTGTATTTGTCATGTGGTATTCACTGCATATATGCTTCTTAAATATGTGGCTTTTTTTGCCACTGTCCATTTTTCGCATTTTACACATCCATTTAAAAAAAATTCAAATATATATATATTTAAATATATACACACAAAACAGACATATATGAGAATATGCTTGTGGAATGTTATTTTGCATGCAACTAGAGGTTTCCTTCTTTCTTAGTTTCTTTACATTATTTGTATATTTCGGCAGCTCTGACTGGGTAGACCCTGAGCCAAAGAAATACTCTAATAAATCATGACAGGTAAAGTACTTTTTAAAAGCTCTTGTAACCCAGTTTCATGTACCCCTCACTAAAATGTGTTGTAATGCCAAACTTTGTGTTGCCATGAAGAGATAATTACAGCTAAGAAACAGAGAGTAATAATTCATTAAACCTCCACTAATGGCGAAATGCTAAATTATTAAAAGACTTGTGACTATACACACATCTTGGGAATAAATCAGCAGATTGAGAATTCAACGGCCTATGGACTTATAAAAACAAGAAGTGCACACGATCAAACTGATGCAACTTGGTTAAATATTCATACTATTTAATGAAACTTTACTATGTAACTGGTGAGAGAGTGCATCACTTAATATATATGCATATATTAAAGAACTATTTTAAAAGAAAAGATATTAAAGGATTAAAAAGTTTGGGGTCAGTAAGATTTGTTTTATGTTTTAGGAAGAAGTTTCTTATGCTCACCAAGCCTGCATTTATTTTATCAAAAATATAGTAAAAACAGTAATATTGTGAAATATTATTACAATTTAAAATAACTTGTCTATTTTAATATATTTTGAATGTTAAAGCTGTGTCAGCATTTCAGTATTACTCCAGTCTTCAGTGTCACATGATCCTTTAGAAATCATTCTAATATGCTGATTTGGTGCTTTATTAACATTATTATCAATGTTAAAATAAGTTAATTCATATTTTTGTGGAAATCATTTTTTTTCTCAGAATGTTTTGCTGAATAGAAAGTTCAAAAGATTAGCATTTATTGAAACAGGAATATTTTGGAACATTATAAATCTCTTTACTGTCACTTTTTAACAATTTAATGCACCCTTACTGAATAAAATATTAATTTCTTTTAAAATCAAATCAAAATCAAAATAAAACCCCAAACATATACATATATTTATAACTTACACACACACACACACACACACACACACACAGTAAAAAGCAACAAAAAATGCACTTAAAACTATTATTTATATGATTAAACCACAATATCGGATATTAATGTTTAGTTAGATGGGAGTTCAGGGAGTGCAGGAATGTGTGTGCGGGCATGCTTGGTCAAACCCTAGCTGACTTATAGACGTCACGTCTGATATTTAGCACTCAAAGTCTGTCATGTCTGCATACATGATCTCTTTATCCACCTCAAACGGGCACTAATTGCCAGCAACTAATCACATCACTGTCCTATTATGCCTAGTTCTGCATCATCCCTCTCATCTGCAAAATTACCCAGGATAATTAGAGTAAATTATTAACGAGCTAGTTGCAGAGTCAACTACGCTATTTGGTGACCTCAGACACTTAAAGTCTGACCATTAGACATTCTATCTCTAATGGTTTGAGTAAATAAATGCATCCAATAAATCTACGGCGCATCGCTTTCTACTAAACTCCTGGGTGGAACATTGAGGAGTTTAAATGTGCTTCATTAGCGATCAAAAGTTTTAGAGTTTGACCAGCGCTGCAAAGAAGTTTCACTCTCAAGATGGGTTTTTAAAGTAGCATGAGCTTTTAAACCATCTAGTTTAGTTGACTGTTGGGAACAGTGGAGCTCACATGGGCTCCCAAAAGGCAATAAACGTTCACACTTTTTTTAATAGACAAAGGTGTCACATGACTCAGAAACTGACTGCGTATTTGTCTAACCTGTTCAGGGCCCATGTTGGCCATGCTGCCCCCAGGTCCAGAGTTCATAGTGCTCATGCTCATCTGGTTGCCCATTTGGCCCATGTTACTTGAGTTGGTGGCCATGGACACGTTGAGGTTCATGCCGTTACCATTGTACATGTTGTTACCGGCCTGCTGGGCAAACTGAGGTGGCGACTGCTGAGTGAACATACTGTGGATGGAAGCAGATAAATGTATAAGACCGTTCAGGTTTCGTTTAGCTTCCTGAATTGAAAACTTTAAAGATATTTCATGTCTGATAAAATTTCACACACACACTACTGTTCAAAAGTTTGGGGTTGGTGAGATTTTTAATTAAGTCTCTGATGTTCACCAAGGCTGCATTTATTTAATTAAAAATGAAAAGTAATATTGTGAATTTTTTTTAAAAATTGCCATTACTCGAGTCTTCAGTGTCACATGATCCTTCAGAGATCATTCTAATATGCTGATTTAATGCTCAAGAAACATTTATTATTATTATAATACAGAAAAATATTACAGAATAATATTATATATATTATTACCTTATTAATATGTTGAAAATAGTTGTGTTCCTTAATATTTTTGTGGAAATCATGATACATTTGTTGGGGATTCTTTGATGAATACAAAGTTCAAGTACAGCATTTATTCAAAACTAATCTTTTGTAACAGTATAAATATAATCAGTCACTTTCGATCAATTTAACATCCTTGCTGAATTAAAGTATTAATTTCTTAAAAAAAAAAAAAAGTTTTGCTGACCCCAAACTTTTGAACGGCTGTGTGTGTGTGTGAGAGTATATATACACACACACACACACACACACACACACACACACACACACTATACGAGGCGTAAAGCTGTACCTGTTGGCATTTATGCTGCCCTGTGTCCAGCCGTTCATGTCAGGGGAGGACTGAAAAGAGGTGTTGCCCTGCGCCTGTTGCATCATGGGACTCTGGGCGTGGCTCATCCTGGGAGACATGAGGGGGCTCTGAGGGGTGGTGGCACCACCGAACCCGCCGTCCGACTGCTGACTCATACCTGACACACATACACACGCAGACATGAAGAGACAAACTCTGGTTCACAATAAACATACATCAAAGAACTATTTATCACAAATTAGGTAATTATTACTGTACAGCACTTTGCACATCATATTCACTCTCACGCTGTCAGACAACATCCACATTTAGCACCTAGAAATTAATTATAACTGCAACTACGAAAAGAACAATTACTGAAAATTAGAAAATCAAAATCTAAACACATTTGTTGTTTAGATTAGCTGATCATCATTTTTAGAAATGTCAAAGCAGAAATCATATTGAGAATATTTCAGCCCATCTTCATAATCAAAAGTGAGGAATCAAGAGTATACTAGAGGGGTTTAGAGGTGTTATAAGCAGGCAGTAAGGCAGAGTTACACATGCAGGTTAGTGTTAGTGGCTGAGACAGCCAGAGAAAAGAGGGGTGTGTGGATGGATGTGTAATGGGTGGGATTGAGGGGTGGGGTCTGGGTCACCGCATAATTGGTTTAAAAATCAACTGCTCCGCCTCCACTGATCACCATCAGCCAATTAGTCTAGGCAGGACAGACACTGACACATTTGACACAGCACAGGCATAGACACAGGCACAATTATCAACAGTTTAACACAACTTAAGCTTTGCTTAAATGATAAACTGATCATCTGATTGCATCAGTAGCTCATGTGTTATATATAGATTTACTGTGGCAAAGTACAAAGATGGATGTTCTGGATTATGTCAATTCTGAATCTGAAAATTCAATCTTAATGTCTCTGATCTGTTGAATTTAGCTGATTACCACAGAATGATTTCAACTCGTTCTTGAGTTTGTAAAATAGAACGCAAAATGCAATTAGTATTTCATTTCAATGGAAGCCTAATAGGGTCACTGACTGGGTGGCAAAGTCTAAACTATGCAAATGATCACACTATTTGATTTTAGAAACTGAGCTGTGAATCATAATAATTTTCTGTGGTAATGGACAGCATGCTGCTTATAGACATTAAGTTGGAAATAACCTGAAATATTCCTGTAATATATTCTTATTACATGTGGAAAAATACATTAAAGTGACTCTTCTGCCCTCTAGTGCCACATTCTACCATAACATTATGATCTTTCAAGGGCTCTACATAAGGACAATTATTTAATACTGATTAACTAGCATAAAGTGCTAAATAACCCAACCTAGCTCACAGTACTTGACTAGACAACTATAAACAGATATTTAAAAACCCAAATACTCATTCAAACAGTTTTTAAAGTTGAGATTATGAAACATTAATAGATACTAATTAATTTTGGTCTTTAGTTTTATGGCAGCATCTAATCTCAAAATACAGTACATGGTAATATAATCCAGAAAATATAAATCTCATTATGAACTCTCGTCATGTGTTATTGTATACTGTTATAATATTTATTAAGATTTTAAAATTAGATTTTATTTTCATATTTTCAGTTTTCATTTTATTTAGTAATTTTGTCACAAGCTTTTATTTTTTATTAGTTTTTAAAATGTTCAGAAATGTTATTTGCCAAGGCAATATTTCGAAATTTCATTTAAAGGGATAGTTCACCCAAAAAACTAAATATTGTCATTAATTACTCACCCTCATGTCGTTTCAAACATGTAAGACCTTGGTTCATCTTTGGAACACAAATTAAGATATTTTTGATGAAATCCGAGAGCTTTCTGACACGGCATAGACAGCAACACAACTGAAACGTTTTAGTTCATGTGACATCAGTGGTTCAACCGTAATATTTTGAACCTACGAGAATACTTTTTGTGTGCAAAGAAAACAAAAATGACGACTTTATAACAATTTCTTCTCTTCCGTGTTGCATTTACGAGAGTACCACGACGCATGCGTGCGCATTCCTCTGCTTGCAAACAAGGTGCAGCGAATCCTGGTTTTGCGTCAGAACGCCGGTGTCTTGACATTTTATCCTACCCGTCAGATTGTCCTACCAGGGTTTACTGCGCATGCGAATCCGAGAGCTTTCTGACACGGCATAGACAGCAACACAACTGAAACGTTTTAGTTCATGTGACATCAGTGGTTCAACCGTAATATTTTGAACCTACGAGAATACTTTTTGTGTGCAAAGAAAACAAAAATGACGACTTTATAACAATTTCTTCTCTTCCGTGTTGCATTTACGAGAGTACCACGACGCATGCGTGCGCATTCCTCTGCTTGCAAACAAGGTGCAGCGAATCCTGGTTTTGCGTCAAAACGCCGGTGTCTTGACATTTTATCCTACCCGTCAGATTGTCCTACCAGGGTTTACTGCGCATGCGCACATCAATATTGCGTCCTTTTTCTCATGCTGAACAACAATATTTAATGTAGCTGCATTACTGTAAGAGTGGGTTTAGGGTTGGGGTAGGTGTAGACTTTAATAAAACACAATCTAATAGGTAGAAAAAATTATTTATTGTTGGTTTCCTGTAGCTGTATCCCTTCTAGCGAACATAACACATAATTACTGTATTTGCATTACTGTAAGGGTAGGTTTAGGGTTGGGGTAGGTGTAGACATTAATAAGCCATAATTTTACAGGTAGCATTTTTCGTTGTCGATTTGTACTACACACTGTTTTAATGGGAGGTAGCAAAATCTTGACAGGGTAGCACAAACTGACAGAACACTGGTTCCTGCATCAGCAGCACCATCACATGCATTCGTCGTGGTACTCTTGTGAACGCACGTTGACTGACAGGAAAGAGAAGAAATTGAAAGTTGAATAAAGTCGTTATTTTTCTTTTCTTTGCGCACAAAGTATTCTTGTAGCTTCATAACATTATGGTTGAACCACTGATGTCACACGGACTATTTTAACGATGTCCTTACTACCTTACTGGGCCATAAAATATTTCAGTTGCGTTGCTGTCTATGCAGGGTCAGAAAGCCCTCAGATTTCATCAAAAATATCTTAATTTGTGTTCCGAAGATGAACGAAGGTCTTACGGGTTTGGAACGACTTCAGGGTGAGTAATTAATGATTCATTTTTGGGTGAACTATCCCTTTAAGTTTTTTAGGTTCAAGGTTTTCCATCTAATATTTATATTTTATTTCAGCTTTATTTTAAAAAATGATTTAAAAAAAAAAATAGTTTTAGTTAACAATAACAACACCGTCTTTCCTCCTTCCATGGAACAGGTGGAAAGGTGAATTTTTAAGAATACCCTGGCTATTTTTATTTTTAGAACACATTTATGGTGCTTTTTTGTCATTCTGGAATCCAGTCTTCATTAATTATTATTATGTTTTACAAAAAGCTGGCTTGAAAATTAAAAAAAAAAATCCACAAAAGACAAAAATTTACAAGATTTGGAACAACATATACTTTTTGGATAAACAATCATTTGATTCTTTTAGAATATAATTTTTTAAAATTGGATTTGACTATAGTTGCTGGATTAGTACTTTTACACAGCTGACCTGTGCCTGTCTGGACTACTGCATTTCTAAATAAACCTTGTTGATTAGCCTTGGAAGAAGTGATTTTTCACCACACATTCAGATCACACACATGTTCAAGCCTGTAGTGTTGCTGGTCACAGGTGTTTGAGTGTGTGTGTGTGTGGAAGCACATGACACACAGACAGAGAGAAAGGGCAGGCAGTACCTGAGCTGGGGAACTGAAAGGCACTGTGCTGCATTTGAGGGCTCATAACAGCCCCAAACTGTCCGCTCAGACTGCCCAGCATCCCCTGGTTAGCTAGACTCATCTGAGAGCCATGCATGGCGTTGTGGGAGAGGAGCTGGGGGGCGGGGAGGTTGGGAGAACCGGGGGAGAAAGGGCTGTTGGAGGGGGGTGGCGAGGCCAGTCCTGTACCGTAGTTGGGCGGATAGGGGAACTGCTGGGGGTTGGCCTGGGGGATCCGTGGATTGCTCATGGCTCCGGGCATGCCTGCTGTGGCTGCCGCCATATTTGGCGGCAGGTTGAGGCCCTGGGCTCGCATGACCATGCTGCGCTGCTGCTGCTGCTGCTGTTGTTGTTGCTGCTGCTGCTGCTGCCGCTGTTGGTCCAGCTGACGTTGGCGCAAGTGATTACTCAGCAACTCTCTCTGCCGCTGGGCCAGCATCTGAGCGTTGATTGTCCCCTGGGAGGACAGAGAAAGTTAGGCGTGTTATTTCGGCATCGGAGCACTAGGGAGAATGCAAGAAGTGATTCAGCGTACCTGATTTGGAACGTTGGGTCTTAGAGGTAGGTTCATATTTGGCACTCCAGCCATCTGATTCATCATAGGTTGACGATTCTGGAACAGACACAAACAGAAGCAGCACATTGTAGAATTATTTCAAAAAAATAATCACTCATTTGAATTTTCAATGCTTCGTAATACATTTCAACAACTGTTCTGTTCAATATAATGGCACTCTTGTTTGTAAGATATTGACTTTACACAAAAGACTGAAAAACAAGAAATTAATATAGACTAAAAGGCATTTCAAACACAAAATGACCATAAAATTAAAATTCTATGTAGCAAACAAGCATAAGTGGAGTTATACAAACAGCAAAATGCTCTAGTGCTGTAACACAAAATATCATCAGTCTTTGAAAGGCACTGAAACTAGCCATTGTGCAATAAAGTATATTACAAATACACAATTACTATATAATAAAAAAAATATATAAATACATAAAATTTATATTTTTCTTGCTTTAAGTATTTAAAATACTGTATATTAAGTATGTACTTGTAATATATATATATATATATATATATATAAAATCACTGATTGTAGCTTTAAATTGCCAGAAACTAAACCGTTAAGAGACATGACCCCTAAATAAACCCAAAATGAGGTCAAGGATCAATTCCTGAAATGTCCAGCAGGGGGCAGCTAACCACAGACGGTACTACTTCACCAGTCTGATTTAGATTCAATTTCCTTAAAGCCTTTCGCTTTAAAATGGGTGTATATGGACAGAACAAATAAGATTATGCATTTAAGTCTTTGGATTAACAAAGCTACATGCCACCAATTAAGTGTCATAGGGAACACTTCCCATTGTATTGTCTATATACATTTTTAAAGGTTTTGTTAAGTTTTTTTTTTTCAATACAACAGTTAAAGTTAATAGTCACCAAAACTGTTTGGTTACCAACATTCTTCCAAATATCTTCTTTTGTGTTCAAAGGAATGAGTGACATGATATGTGACATAACATGAGGGTGAGTAAATGATGAATACATTTTTATTTTTTGGTGAGAACTATCCTTTTAACTAAATGATCACTGTGCTTAATATTGATGGCATAATCAGACAATATTAAGAATAAAAATATAACCACTTTTATTCTACTTTAATCAAGACTGTTCTTTCTTCTCATGTATGAGAGTGTAAACCGTACCTGCTGTGCTTGTAGCCTGTGTTGAAGCTGCAGTCTGAGTGCATTGGGTTGGTTGGGGACGGCCCCGGTGGGCCTGAGTCCTGGTCTAGCCTGCATGCGGAGCATGGGGTAGCCCGGCCTCTGCCCCATCTGTCCTGCCATGCCATGGAAGCTGGGGTCCTGCATGGACGTGTACCCACCCTGCTGCATGTGGGCCTGGGAGGCGGCGTACTGCTGCTGACTGTACATGGGCGGCTTCTGATCCATCATCATACTGGGGTCCTGACCGGGGAACTGATCCTGCTCCACCGGCTGAGCCTGAACACAAGGGTGAGTATACACCATTCAATTTAATCTTAGTAATGCCATATGTTTACATGTGTGTGATGCACATAATAAATCAGATAGTTCTGGACCTGGATTTTGTATTAATGCACTGAAATTTCAAATAACCACTCAATCATTGTTTCAACCACAGAAATATGGCAATAAAACATCTTGCAAATAAAGTTACATCTACCTCAGGAAACCCATTCAATGTCTATAGTTTGTTAGTTTGTATAACTCTAGAGAGGAGCATTTTGTGCAAATAGTGCTAATATGCACTATATTACATATTCATTATATTTTTACTTCACTTTTTTCACCATTATTCCCCATTATTTGTCCAGTATTTAAGTTTACACAAAATCTGCCATGAAAGCAAGTAGAAACATAAGTATATTAAAAAGTTCATATAAAAACTCCCTTATATGCAATGAAAATGTAAATTTTATTAAATGTAAATTTGATTAATTAACAGATTAATAAAAGAAACCCTTCCATTTTCGTTTTCAGCTAAATTAATTTCATGTTTCATTAACCATTAAAGTACTTGTCCAAGATCGATGCAACATCAATCATCACAATAAAAGGACTGTGTGCAACCTAAAAATACCCAAGCAAAATATAAAAATAAAAATTGTCATTAGGAAAAAGAAGAAAAAAACAAACAAACAAACATAGTACAAAGGAAGAAATAAAAACTTTACTTGATCCATCAGTGATAAAAATACAAACTGAAAACAAACAGGAAAATTCTGTTTCGGCGCAAAAAAAAAAAAAATCAGTTTGTTGCATCACTAGTATTTTGATACTATTAAAAAAATTATGTTTTTCATTATTTAAGTTTAAACAAAGTTTCATGAAAACAAGTTTTTATTACAGTCACCGTTTAAATGTTTATATTTTTAACAACAAATTGGAGTTGAAACAATTATATCACTAAATATTTGATATAAAAACTGCCTTTGGTGCAAGTAAAATGTTTGATTTGAGTGCTGATTGAGTAAGTTTGATTAATTAGCTGATTAATTAAAACAAATTTTGGTATTAAGTAAGATTTTTAAATAAAGTTATTTCGGTTGTGGTGTTTGGTAAAAAAAAAATTATAATTTGGTGCATCACAAGAGAGACTGGGTTGTAGAACAAAAGTATTCAACCCACCTGTCCCACCAAAGCCGGGATGCCTAGAGCACGGTCAATCTCCTCTAGGCCGTCAAAATCTTTGAGAACCGTGTAGAGCTGGCTGAGCAGAGCGCCCTCATCGGCCGGACCCTCAGAGGCAGGAGGGCACAAAACATCCTCCTGAGAACTGCTATACATAGAGCTTACAGAGACGAGAGACTCTCATTAAAGAGCTGAGACATGAATGACGGGATATCCCATAACAGATTACATCGGAGTGTATTTGTCCAGTTATTTTCTAACAGAAGGACAAAAATCAACATGTGCACACAGCACACACCTCCAATAAAGTGTGGGGCCTAACAACAGTAACAGTAATAAATACCGTTTACCTATTCTGGTTCCCAAATGGGACCGGCTCTATAGGCATCACACTGTCTGGCCATGGAGCCGTCTGATTAGGCGGTGCCTGTTGCTGGGGAAACTGGTGGCCAGCCATGCCCATGTCCATGTTTGACTGGGCTAAGGAAGAAACAGCAGATGATAAAAGATGATTAAAACATCATTTTTATTTGTAAATAAGTCTGAATAAGTTATCCACAAGTCTTTGCTTTTCTACATCTTCTGTAAAGCTCTATATATCTGCTCTGTGTCCATTTACCGTTGGGCATCATCTGGGACTGAAGCATCTGTCTTGGTCCAGGTTGGCTGCTGGGCCTCATGGGCATGCCTGCGCCAGAGTTGGGCACCATGCGAGAGTGGAGCGCCCCCTGTGTGAGAGAGTGCTGGCCGGCGGGAGCAGTTGTGACGGGTGAGGCCGCATTACCGACGGGACCAGGACCCTGTGCACCCCAACTGTCCTGTTGCATACCTACACGGGGACCATTATTACCCATGACTCCTTTAAGAAAGAGAAAGAAGAGGGCTTTTAATTTGAAGGTAACTTTTATTAAATACAAACTAAATGGTATTAACAACATGTGTAACGTGACGTTTTTGATTGAAACAGTGAGAATTTACACTACTGTTCAAGAGATTTTTTTTTTGAAAGGAGTAAACACTTTTATTCAACTAGAATGCATTAACTTGATCAAAAGTGACAGTAAAGGCATTTATAATGTTAAAAATGATTATTCAAAGATATATTAACATAGAAAAATTATTTTAAATTGTAATCATATTTCAGAATAATACAATTTTTATTTAACTGGGTTGTTAAATTTGGGCTATGATTATATTCTTCAGTATTTTTTTCTGTAAGTGGAGAAAAAGGTTATTTTTTTTTATGAAAGGTAATGAAAGCACTTTTCTTTTATAAAAACATGCACTGACAAATTGTGCATAACACCACTGATCATTTTTATGAAAGGATTTTTATGTCTTTTAAATTATAACTCAGTGCTATAATGCACAAGCAGGTGCACTACTGCACTTACTGACCAATTCCTTAGAAACAGTTGCCATCCACAATTTTCTCAAGACTTTGATCTTTTTCTATGTGTTTTGGATAGTTTTAAACACAATTTAATATAAATGATCGAAAAACAAGGTACAAAGTTGTTGCCAGGTCTCTTATAATAGAGACAAAAAATATAGAGGACACAAGACATTTCAATAAATCTTCACAAGTTTCCAAACAAACATGATTGCATGTCTTGTAAAGCTTATCCGACTTCCCAACAGTAAAGTAAAAACCTAAGCTAAGGGTCAACTGACAAAATAAATTAAAAATAAATGATAAAACTATGGTGTCATTTCATCCTCAGAAATGTGATATTTAAAAATCCAACCACCTGGAAAACATGCAGACACGATCACACCAGAAACCCTGCAATTCTTTCCTAAGGTTATGAGTCATTTATATCTAGCCGCTCACAGTCTCACCTTATGTGCACATTCACTTGCAAGCGAGTGTAACCCACCACACACAAACACACAAAGAAAAGGTGCACAGAGGGGCTTGCTTTTGATCTGACTCAACACTTTTGTGCCGTTTTACACATTTGTCTTCCTCTCGGCCAACAGCGTCATGCTTGACTGTGCATTACTGATCACACTGAAACTATGGTTTGTACATGGTCGGTGCAGCATTGGAACTTTCCTCTCATAGTAGGTGTTAAGTGTGGGGGAAGCCCTGTGTTCCACCGCATACGTACAGACAAACTTTACTTCTATTGTATTTTATGTTATTGCATCAGTGACTAAGAAGCATTGCATTTCAGACCCCAGCTCAACTCACCTGCATTGACCATGTTGGGCTGATTAGGCATGATACTGTGGTTTCCCATCATGCCTTGCTGCTGCATGAGCGAGTAGGGGCTGTTGTTCCTCATCAGAGGGTACTGACCCTGAGCGCCTTTAGCAGGCATGTTCATATCCAAAGACACACTTCTGACTGGAGGAGCTCTGCCGGGCTGACCTGGTCGTGGAGCACCAAAATCTATCAACACACATAACAAATAAATGACAAAACTGAAAAAGTATGGTATTCACAGTTTATAGAAAAATAACACTAACTTGAAAAAGCTTGGTGTTGAAGACTTTTAGTCTCGTATGCTCACCAAAGCAGCATTTATATGATCAAAATATAGTAAAAAACTGTGATATTGTGAAATAATTTTCTATTGTAATATATTTTCAAATGTAATTTATTCCTGTAATGGCAAAGCTGAATTTCCAGCAGCCATTACTCTTCGGTCCTTAGTATCACATGATCATTCACAAATCAGTCTAATATGCTGATTTGCTGTTCAAGATAGATTTTTTTATTATTGTCAATGTTGTGTTGATTAATATTCTTGTGTAAACTGATAAAAAAAAATTTCAGGATTCTTTGATAAAGTTCAAAAGAACAGCATTTATTTGAAACAAAAATGTTCTGTAACATTATAAATGCATTTACTGTCACTTTTAATCAAATATGCCCTTGCTGAAAAAAGTATCGATTTCTTAAAAAAAAAAAAATCTTACTGACACTAAGCTTTTGAACAGCGGTGTATAAAAATTACTGTTGAAAAATGAGTGAAGTTTATTATAAGTATCATAACATGGTTTGTGTGTAGGGTCACTTATTGTACTAAAAGTAGTCGACTAGTCAGTGTTTAGCCCATGTAAATGGCTCAACACACAAACTGTACAGCATTAGTGGCCTCTGATGACAGTGCGTGAGAGAGAATATCCACTCAGCTGAAATGATGCAGGTGAAAAAATCCAATGTTCCACCTGCTCACAGTTTCGGTCAGCCTCTGGGCACACTTGAATAGTTTCAGGGTGTTTCGCAAAAACTATGACATGTAAACATAAAGCACTCTGGGTTCACTTCATTTTCACTCTTGTGTAATTCTAAATATTTTTGCAAATACATTGGGACGCTGTGTGGACACAGGAATTTTCCTCCTGCTGTCACCTTGTAAACAAATGCAAATAAAATCCAAGACTACTCAGCGAAACTCCTTGTAAAAACACAAACACACATTCATTACTATTGGGTGCAATCTGGATAGTTGTCCTAAAGGAAGTCGATTACACAATATAAGGCAAAGCTCAAACCATGTGTTACATTGGTCTAATCTTACATGAGCGTTCAAGAGGGGGTGCGTGCATAAATATGAGCGATAAGGCAATTATATGACTATTTGTACACAAGCAAGCATGCTTGGGAAGAACCTGCAATATTTATGCATTTGCTCACTTGTTGTCTTTTAAAGGTGCAGTTACATTAGCAAAATGTAATGTGAAAAAAGGTCCACTATCTATTATGAATAGTGTTGAGATGAAACACAGCTCACATAGAAGTCACTTTCAAACTAAGCAGCTTTCTGATGGTCAGCACCACAAATTTGTATAACTTAAACATGAGTGACTTTATTGCTCTCACACAGAACTCCCAATCCCGATTTACAGTCTGGACAAATCGACACAAGTTGTCCAGAGTTGTTCTGCAGATTTGAGTTGACCGATTTCACAGAAAATTGAGCGGTGTACGATGGATTTTTTAGCATCAGACTCTGATTCCATTCAGCTGGAGGATATCAAACATGTTTGATATTTTGAGGCAATTTTAGAACACACATTGTTGTGGTTTGCCATATTTACCTTATATTTGCCTTATTCTGTGTAAGAAGCCACATCATCTCACAGAAGGATTTATTTCAAACATTCGACTGACATTATGAAGTGAATTTGGAGTAAAAATGTTATTAAATGTGGTATTTTCACATGCTTTCAGATGGAGCAGCATTTACTTCACAGAGCCGTAGTTCACTGAGAAGCTATGCAAACAGCTGTGCGTAACTTGTCAGTGAACTACGGCTCTGTGTAGTAAATTCTGCTCCATCTGAAAGCACGTGATGATGATTTCCTGCTGATTACAGAACCGGCTTTACTAACAAAATGCACATGACAATCGCATTCGATTAATCGTGCAGCCCTACTTTTGAATACAGGTTTTAAAGTGCAAGTTTTGAAAAACGATACCGTTGAAAATGAAAACATTATCGTCTCTGTGTAAACTACAAAAATGAGAATGTGTGAAAACAGCGAAGTCATGCACATGCGTATTACGTGTTCAGTCTAATGTGCGTAGTGTTGCTTTACAAAGTGACATCGCTAACTACTGGCCTGGCATGCATAATACAGCATTTTTAGTCATTTTCACGGATCCATGTAAACTGGAATCATGTTGTCTGTACACAAAACTTAAAAAAAAAATGCAAAAATCAGTTTTTAGTACATCACTGAAGTGTGAACATTCCCTCAGTCATTTAGTTTTTCTTTGCAACTGTTTACCAATTTGGCAAGTTTATAATGCCAAATGTTTTAAAATCTTTTCAGATTTCAGAAGTCTTACATTATTCCAGCCATTGGATGAAAACTGTAGGAGAATGTGAGTGTGTTACTCACTCTGTTGGCCCACAGCCTGTAGTGCTCTCTGTTGCTGGGGACCCATGCTGGCTCCACCCTCTCCAGTCATCTGCAGGATGTCATTGATGATTGACTGCTTGTCCACGGCAGCAGGCAAAGACACAGGCCGGGAATCCGCAAACAGGCCTGGCTGACTGTTCTGTAGATCATCCAGAATATCATCCAGCTCGCTCGACTGCAAACACACAAGGGAATTCCTTTAGCTTAGTATTTTCATTAGTCTCATCAGTTTGTTGCCTAATATCAAAAATGGGTTTGTCAAGGTCAAATCTCTGGTGGGTTTGGATGCACAAGAAAATATCCTCTTGTACATAACATACCAATGCATCTTATCATGTATAACATCATGTATATTGTTTTGTAGAGTCACAAGGTTTGGTATCTCAGTCTTTTGGATTTAGACCTCGGCAGGGAAACGCTGGAGAGTCTGAAGTCTGCCTGCTGAAACACACCCCTCTCCCTCTCACATGTACACACACACAGCGCTGGAATCTAGGACAACCTTCACATTGAGTTAAAGGAGGCTAGCTGAACACTACTCCATTTGCCATGGTTTGCTTACCATCTTTAAACCCTAGATTGCTTCTCCATCAGAGCAAGATCTTCTAAATGCACGCAAACAAACACACACACATACTCTGCATGACTCGGAATGCAGTTTGACTTTAAATACATCATCGATCTGACTTCAAATCCTTTCATCTCCTTCATAAGCTTTTAAAAATATTTATTACTTTAGAAATCTAAATGCACACTTGGCTGTAGTGCACTACAGTTCTGATGTATCTATGTTGTATTTGAAACATCTGCCCTAATGCATTGCAACTTTTTTATTCTGCCTTGAGTTTGACAAAGTTTCTTTACCTGTTGAGATAAAGAAACCTTCTTACAGCAGTGCATTTCAGATAAAAAATGTTGACTCGAAGATTCAGAACTGTACTTTTGTTTATCCAGAGCGGTCGTCGTCTATCAGAAAAGACTAAAAATGCATACAACTTCTATTAAATGACACTAAATAAATGCTAAATCAAATGTCCCGTACACAAGCACTCTACAGTTGGAGATATAAACATTTACGCTGGTTAATATATAGATCTTAGGAGAACGCCAGTTCTGGAACTTTTAATAAACATGCATTAAAGTCCTTAAGCCACCACAAGGAGGCAGCACACGTGACATCTATATTACAATCAGGACAGCAAACATATCTATCTATCTATCTATCTGCTTAGATCTATAATACATATATTATTTATATAAATTACATTATATACATGTGTGAGATATATATATATATATATAAATCTGTTCAGAAGTCGTGTACTTTATTCCAGACACTGGCTGAAAACTGTAGGAGAACGTGTGTGTGTGTGTGTGTGTGTGTGTGTGTGTGTGTGTGTGTTACTCACTCTGTTGGCCCACAGCCTGTAGTGCTCTCTGTTGCTGGGGACCCATGCTGGCTCCACCCTCTCCAGTCATCTGCAGGATGTCATTGATGATTGACTGCTTGTCCACGGCAGCAGGCAAAGACACAGGCCGGGAATCCGCAAACAGGCCTGGCTGACTGTTCTGTAGATCATCCAGAATATCATCCAGCTCGCTCGACTGCAAACACAAAAGGGAATTCCTTTAGCTTAGTATTTTCATTAGTCTAATCAGTTTGTAGTCTAATAAGATATCAAAAATGTGTTTGTCAAGGTCAAATTTCTGGTGGGTTTTGTATGCACATGAAAATATCCTCTTGTGCATAACATTCCAATGCATCTTATCATAAATAACAACATAGTTACAAGGTTTGGTATCTCAGTCTTGTGGATTTAGACCTCAGCAGGGAAACACTGGAGAGTTCGAAGTCTGCCTGCTGAAACACACCCCTCTCCCTCTCACATGTACACACACACAGCGCTGGAATCTAGGACAACCTTCACATTGAGTTAAAGGAGGCTAGCTGAACACTACTCCATTTGCCATGGTTTGCTTACCATCTTTAAACCCTAGATTGCTTCTCCATCAGAGCAAGATCTTCTAAATGCACGCAAACAAACACACACACATACTCTGCATGACTCGGAATGCAGTTTGACTTTAAATACATCATCGATCTGACTTCAAATCCTTTCATCTCCTTCATAAGCTTTTAAAAATATTTATTACTTTAGAAATCTAAATGCACACTTGGCTGTAGTGCACTACAGTTCTGATGTATCTATGTTGTATTTGAAACATCTGCCCTAATGCATTGCAACTTTTTTATTCTGCCTTGAGTTTGACAAAGTTTCTTTACCTGTTGAGATAAAGAAACCTTCTTACAGCAGTGCATTTCAGATAAAAAATGTTGACTCGAAGATTCAGAACTGTACTTTTGTTTATCCAGAGCGGTCGTCGTCTATCAGAAAAGACTAAAAATGCATACAACTTCTATTAAATGACACTAAATAAATGCTAAATCAAATGTCCCGTACACAAGCACTCTACAGTTGGAGATATAAACATTTACGCTGGTTAATATATAGATCTTAGGAGAACGCCAGTTCTGGAACTTTTAATAAACATGCATTAAAGTCCTTAAGCCACCACAAGGAGGCAGCACACGTGACATCTATATTACAATCAGGACAGCAAACATATCTATCTATCTATCTATCTGCTTAGATCTATAATACATATATTATTTATATAAATTACATTATATACATGTGTGAGATATATATATATATATATATATATATATATATATATATACACACACACACACACACATTTTTTAATTAGATTATACAGATTAAGTGTATATATATGATTGCGTTAGTATGTATATATATATATATATATATATATGAATAATGTATAAATTAATTTATTTTCATGCTTATCTTTTTACAGTCTATATTATAAGTATACAATTTATATAAATACACACACATATACACACTATAATAGGACAAATATTTGCAAAAATTTCTCTCTCACACACATTAATATCCTTAAGATGTCTAGTAAATAGCCTAGAAAACGTTAATTTCAGGACAGTGGATGAGAGTTCATGCGAGTGTGTGTGTTTAGGGGTTGTTGTGGAGGGTAGTTAAGGTTAAAGGTCAAAGATCGCATGCTGTATATTATTCTCTGGGTTGAAAGTTTGCCTTCATGCTGCATGTCTGCAGCCTAATGAAGCCGTCAACCTCTCCTGCCGTTGATTTGCGACTCAGTGTGCAGTGTGGAGGAAAAGCGCTGCACAAACAGGATGTGAGTGGAGAGGAGGAACTGCTTAATGGGGTCACTCTCCTTGTGTAGCGCTCGGAAGCTCTTTTCCCTATCTCCCTCTCTCTCTTCTCATCTCATCTCATACAGTGCCTTGCTAAAGTATTCATACCCCTTCATTTTTTTCATGTTTTGTTATGTTGCTGCCATATGTTAAACTGCTTTAAATTACTTTTTTCAACATCAATCTACACTCCATACACCATAATGGTAAAGCAAAAAACAGGGTTTTAACATCTTTGCAAATTTATTAAAAATAAAACACTTAAATGATTCCATTGCATTATCTGGGACAGATGAAATTTAGCTCAGGAGCATTCATATTGCTTATAGATGTTACTACACTTCGAGTGAAGTTAACCTGTGGCAAATTCAATTGAATGGGTAGGATTTGGAAAGGCACACATGTCTTAATAAACGTCTAACAGCTAATAATGTATATCAGAGCAAAAACCAAGCCCTGAGGTAAAAAAAAACTGCCTGTAGAGCTCAGAAACAGGTTTGCGTCAAGCCACACATCTGGAGAAGAGTTCAGAAAAGCATTCTGCTTCATTGAAGGTTCACAGAAGCATGTAGTCTTAATGGAAGAAGTTTGAAACAACCAGGACTCTTCATAGAGCTGGCCTCCAGGCCAAACTGAGCAATTGATGGAGAAGGGCTTTGGTTTGAGTGGTGACCAAGAACCTGATGGTCACTCTAGTTGAGCTCCATGATTAAATGTGGAAATTGGAGAAATCTACAGAAGGAAAACATCACTGCGACACTCCACCGATCTGGGCTTTATGGCGGTGTGGCAAAACTCAATCCTCTCTTCAGTGAAGACACATGAAAACACACTTAGAATTTGCAAAAAAGCACCTAAAGGACCCCCAGATTGTGAGAAACAATATTCTCTGGTCTGATGAACCTCAATTCTAAGCATCATGTTTGAAGGAAACCAGGCACTGCTCATCACCTGCAGAGTACCATCCCAAAGGTAAAGTGTGCTGGTAGCAGCCTCATGCTGTGGGGCTGTTTTTCAGCGGCAGGGACTGAGGGACTCATCAGAGTAGAAGAAACGCTCAATGCACCAAAATATTGAGATAGCCTTAATGAAAACCTAGTCTAGAGCATTCAGAATGTTCACCTTCCAGCAGGACAATGACCCTAAGCACAGAGCAAGAGTGGCTTATAGACAACTCTGTGAATGTCCTTGAGTGGCCCAGCCAGAGCCTGGGATTTAACCCAGTAAAATATTTCTGGAGAAACCTGAAAATGTGTGTCCACCCCCTTCCAAACTGACAGAGCTTGAGAGGTGAAGAGATAAGGAGAAGGATGGCAGATAATTGCCAAATGCAGATGAGCAAAGCCTGTCGCATCAAACAAAAAAGACTTGAGGCTGTAAAGGTGCTTCAGCAAAATATTTATCCGAATACTTATGCAATGTACTTATTTTTTTTAATAAATTTACGAAGTTGTGACAATTCTGTTTTTGGTTTGTCAATATGGAGTATGGAGTGTAGATTGATGTGGGAAAAAAAGTAATTTAAAGCAGTTTAACAAAAGGCAGCAACATAAAACGTGAAAAAAATGAATGTATATACACACACTTGTGTGAGCACCACCTGTCCCTGGCTGCCCTCTTGAATCAAACCTGCTGCTGATTATTCACTGTCCATGCATCTCACAGGCTGCTTGTTTCAGCCTTTCTCTCCTCCTCTTTCCAATTATCACTCACTGGTCTCTCTCCTGTGTATTATCTGTGTGCACTCGCTCAGTCCAGACAGGAAGGTGCCTGTGCATTAGCATGGATTCTTTACATCACACTGAGCTGCACCTTCATGGATCACTTTCTCGCCAGTGGGAGCGCTGACGTCAGCGTGATGTTGAGCCAATGGTGGAAAAGCTCCCTGTGTGGAGATCTATGAGAGCTGTGTTTCTCATCAGCTACCAGAGCACTTAACAGTAAAACTATCCGACATATTCCACTATAATTTACACTTTTGGATGTGGGTATTTAATAAATGACATGTCCATGAACTTTTACTGTTAACATCATTTGAAGTTGAATTGCATATGAATGCATAAGGAAAAGTGGGAAAACTCTATTAAAAGTGGGAGTCCAATGAAACTCTATTATTTATTAGTATCTTAACATTGTTTTAACCTTTACAAGTAGAGAAACGCAATATCCATTTAAATGTAACAAAAGCAAACTTCTATTGCATCTTGTCATGTTGATTTTTGATTAAAGGGGTCATATGATGTTGCTAAAAAGAACATTATTTTGTGTATTTGGTGTAATGAAATGTGTTTATGCGGTTTAAGGTTAAAAAAACACATTATTTTCCACATACTTTACATTATTGTTTCTCCTTTATGCCCCGCCTTTCTGAAACGCGTTGATTTTTACAAAGCTCATCGGTCGAAAAGCGAGGTGTGCTCTGATTGGCCAGCTATCCAGTGCGTTGTGATTGGCCGAATACCTCAAGCGTGTGACGGAAATGTTACACCTCTTATCATACTGTGATGCCCTGTCCTGAGCGATGAGACAAAAAGATTAAAACCCATTATAAACGAGGCATTTGTTGCATCCAGTGGGGACATAATTACGGATTATAATGACTTATACTGTCTTTTTACGGGTTGCATTGCATCATGCCGTGTAAACATAAAACCATGTCTGCATCTGTGAACGGAGAAATGACAAACAACAAGTGCTACTCTACACTGCTCAAAATTTGCGTTTGAATCGTCAGTGGCAAATTCTTTAAATATAAAAACATAAAATGCACTGGACACATCTGAATATTTGGGTTGAACTGTTCTGGAACAGTGTTGTAAATACAACTTAACCACTGATTTCTAGTCGTATCCTCTTTTGGAAAGCCAAACAAAGTAGTTTAGCTTTCACAACGAAAGAGGAGGCGGGCTAGAGTGAGCGGAGGGCGGTGGGCGGCCGGCTGAATCAACGAAGGAACATCCGGTGGGCTTGCGGCAACCACATGTGACGATCCCGGGTTGGACTCCGCTTCGTCCGACCCGGCGATCCTCAGCGCGAAGTTGATTTCCTCAGCGACCAGCACAGTTCAGCTCCAGGCATGACGAAGTGGATATCTTCCTATTTTGGAAGGCCAAACAAAGTAACACAGCTCCTTCACGACATGGCAGCGGCAACAACAATACTACAGCGAGAATAAAAGTTACACCTTCTTTCTTTGCGTGAACATTTGGGCGGTGTTATGCAAATTTTCCCACATCGTGACGTAGACATGTGGGGGCGTGTTAGAACGAGCCGTTTTAGGTAGGCGTGGTTGATTCTTAACTTTTATAAAGAATATCTCTTTGGATTTGAGAATTTAGTCTTT